CTTTTTCTCCACAAGCTCACCAGTATTTATCCTTCACAGTCTTTTGGATATTAGCCATCCTAACTGGAGTGAGGTGGTATCTCAGTGTGGTTTTGATTTGCATTTCCCGGATGCTGAGTGATGTTGAGCATTTTTTCATATGTCTTTTGGCCATTTGTATATCTTCCTTAGAGAAATGCCTGCTTAGCTCTTTTGCCCATTTTTTGATTGGGTTGCTTGTTTTTTTCTTGTCAAGTTGTTTGAGTTCCTTGTATATTCTGGATATTAATCCTTTGTCAGATGTATATTTTGCAAATATTTTCTCCCACTCTGTTGGTTGTCTTTTAACTCTGTTAATTGTTTCTTTTGCTGTGCAGAAGCTTTTTAGTTTGATATAATCCCATTTGTTTATTTTTCCTTTGGTTGCCCGTGCTTTTGGGGTCGTATTCATGAAGTCTATGTCCAGTCCTACTTCCTGAAGTGTTTTTCCTATGTTTACTTTAAGAAGTTTTATTGTTTCAGGGTGTATACTTAATTCTTTAATCCATTTTGAGTTGACTTTAGTATACGGCAGATGACATGATCCTATATATCGAACAGCCTAAAGCCTCTACTTGGTGCCTTTGTCAAAGATCAGATGGCTGTAGGTGTGTGGGTTTATTTCTGGGTTCTCTATTCTATTCCATTGATCAGTGTGTCTGTTTTTATGCCAGTACCATGCTGTTTTGGTTATTATAGCTTTGTAGTATAGTTTAAAGCCAGATAGTGTTATGCCTCCAGCTTTATTCTTTTTGCTCAGCATTGCTTTGGCTATGCGTGGTCTTCTGTTATTCCATATAAATGTCTGGATAGTTTTTTTCCATTTCTGATAAAAATGTCACTGAAATTTCGATGGGGATTGCATTGAATTTGTATATCACTTGGTGGCACATTAATAAAATAAATCATCTGTGTATATATTTGGAGAAATTATGTCTTTATTTTTTTCTTTTTTAACAGGATATCCTGGATCTCCACCCAATTTACAGAAAAAGGATGTTTCTATTCTTGGTTATATCCACATTCTGAAGTCAATGGTTGATGTCTTTTGGATTCACCATCACATATAAGAACGATTATTGTCCTTAACTGGGACCACGCCTGAGATCTTGGATATAGCACTTAGAGTTATTGGGCCTGGGCTCCTTCGCAAACCCGTGGCCTATTTTTCCACCACTATAACAGTTTTTCCAATGAAATATTGTATCAGTAGCACATTTAAATTATTTTTACAAGTGTGCACCGATTATGCTTCAGATTGCAATTCTAAAGTAATGATCTCTAAATGACATACTGGCTTCCTAATGTCCATCTTCTATTATTTTTTTAAAAAACAAAAAACTTTGTAGTAAAATATGTTTGTGTCACATTTGAATTATGTTGTATGGTATTTACTATTAAGACCATTCAGCAATTTTCATCCAGCTGCACTTTTAAGTGACAATAATTTTCTTATAAAGGAAATGGAATGAGTAGAGTATATTTATTTATAGCATTACCAGTATTTGATGATAAGAAAGAAAAAAGTCACAAAATAAAAGCTTGTCCATACTATTTCAGCATTTCAAGGTCATTCAAAGCAAGTAGAATGGTAAAGAAAATCAACACTGATAATTCATTTCTATAGAATGTTTCTGCTAACCGGGTTGTTTTCAATGCAGCCCGGCTATTGCTACATTATCTGAGTGCTATGGAATAATAATGCATCTATTGCACGGTTCCAGACAGAAAGAAGCAAGCACTAGTACCAAAAAGCCATCTGAGTCCTTCTGCCTACTGACTTGATACAGTAGCAATTTACCCAGTAGGCACCATGGAGGTAGCTGCCTGTCTGACACAAAATTCCCCTCCATCATCTCAAACATAGAGAACACTGTGCTATTCTTGTCAACTTCTAACAATCACTTCTATGGTCTCCCAGAATAGCTGGCTCCCAGCCCCTATAGTTGAGAAATTCTACCATATGCACTTCTCTCAATCTTTACATTATAATTTAAGTTTACTTACTATTGTCTTGGTACCAAATAAATAATCCCTCAGATTTCTTTTTTTTTTTTTTTTTTGTCTTTTGTCTTTTTTCCGTGTCCAGCAACGGATCGCAACCCTCAGTGTCGCCCCCGTACCGGACCGGGGACCGGCAACGGGATCGCAACCCTCGGTGCTGCTTCCGCGCCTCACTCAGCCAGTGAGCGGGAGCCGGTCTGCATGTGGGATCCGAACCCTCGGGCGGGAGCGCCGCCGCGCTTCCCAAGTGGCTCACTATCCAGTGCGCCACCGGGCCGGCCCATCCCTCAGATTTCTAATAAGAGTTCAGTAGTATTTAGTTGTGACTTAGCTATCTCAAGACTTAATGATAAAACATCTGTGTTCACATACATATAATGTACTAACTTTTAACTAACATAACTTCTTCAATGCAAGCTTACAAATATTCCATACAGTCTCTGGAGCAATGGAGTTTTCAAATATGTCATTCAGGACAGACAAGAAAAACATATGCTTATTTCATTTTAAAAAGTACATCCTTTCTGGAGAGCAGTTTGGAAATAAGAATAGAAAAACTTGAAGAGACATATATCTCCTGATCTGGTAATTCCAAGACTACAAATGTATACTAGATAAACAATCATGTATATATACAAATGCCTAGCTAAAAAACATGTCCATCTCATTGCTACAGTGTTTATGATAGAGAAAAACAAAAGTATT